ATTTTATTATGGATTTAATAAAAGCCTTGCTCCCTCGCTACTAATTATCTGGAAGAGGCAGTGAAGAGCAAGGATGTTCGGATCGGCTAAACCGCACTGTTCGGCTTTTCTCAAATAACAACGCTTACTAAGGCTTTACGGTGTATTCCCCGTTGCCAGTACTCATTGAGTACGTGACGGACTCGGCAAATGCGTCAAATCTGTGGAAGATGATGGAGCGTTCGCCAGAACCCAACCTTCCGTCGCTTTTTAAAAGTTATGTGATATTCAGCTATCAATTTCCTTTCCTTTAAATCTTCTCAGTTCCAGTAAATAAAAGCCTAGCTTTGCATTCAGCATCATTGATCGGGGTGCAAGAAAGAGACGTCAGTATCAGTTTCATGATCGACTTGCGGGGCGAGAAAGGAAGAGAAAAGAGTTGAATTGCATTGACAACGCTGGGGTGGGGTGAGAAAAAACTCCTGATATAAATTGTCTTTTTGCAAGCCAAATTTGTGACGCCACGGTTGGTTCTCATTGCTATTTAGCACTGAAGCATGATGGATATTTCTTTTTGTACCCAATGACATGTTGGTATATCTTTAGACTCCAATATGTTTTACACTTCTGAAAAAGTTAGTGCCACCTACACTTTATCAAGTAGTCTTGTGGATCATCTTATACCACCTACTACTGCCTGATTCAGTTTACAAGCCCTGTCTTCGACCCTGGTTTAACAAGCTTTTCAGTTCAAATAAGTTAACAAGAAATACACTCGAACCTGTATATAACGGCCACCCTCGGGACTTGAGGAACTGGCCGTTTAATACAGGTGGCCGCTTAATACAGGATCACTAAAAATACTCACTGGGTGTGGTCTAACGAGATGGTACAGTACTTCAGCACATTGCGGACATCTGGAATGTGTTAACGAGTTAACGATACTAAACGACCGATTATCAGCTTGCAGTAGCTTTGTACAAGTTATTTCTTTATATTAATGATGGATCGCATTTTAAACACAATAAAATACCGCATAAAATGACATATGGCTTAGTTTCCGTTCAAGGTTGGCCGCTTACTACAGGTAAAAATAACAAAGAAAGACAAACATAGGACTGCTACAGGGTGGCCACGGCCGCTTAATAGAGGTGGTCACCTAACACAGGTAACAAATACAGCGTTTGTATGAGCAATAAATCGGGACTTTGAAAACTGGCTGCTTAATAGAGGATGGCCGCTTAATACAGGGCCGTTATATACAGGTTTGCTGTAATTCGAAAACATATCCTGTAAGACATTGGATATCGCCACAAGGTGGCCAACGTAATCAAGAAAATGTTGTGTACAACAGTGGTGCAATTCTTGCGCGCTTCAAACTTTTTTCGTTGCTTCTAGTGTAGTTCTGGCCCTTTCTCTGTCACCAAACGTCGGGAGAGAGTGCGTGACATGCAGAGGGCTGGAACAGGGACCACCTTGCTTCTGGCTAGTCACTGAGGATATGACCGTTAAAACTACGGAAATTATTTATTCATTATAATATAAACACCAGTGAAATACCAGGATTTGTCCTTTTACTAAAAAATCATATCTTCATCGCGCGCAGTGAAGATACTATTTTTATCTTTCACACTGTTAAGATATCATTCCTTTTTGATAACATTTTTCTTTTGTCCCTTTAACTACACTTAAATTTGTTGATGTATGATCGAAACATCTTCGGATCTTCCTCGGTCGTCTTCGGCAATCTTTGGTAATCTTTGGAAAATCTTCGGAAATCGTCGGAAAGTGGTCGGAAATCTTCGGAAAATCGTCAAAAACGTCGTCATTATTATGTTTACATAATAAACAGAATATTACATGCCCGCTTGTGGATACGAATTTTCTCTTCTCGTGTTCAACTCAATATCTCACTCGTTCGCTGCGCTCACTCGTGAGATATCGAGTTGAACACTCGTAGACTAAATTCGTATCCACGCGCGGGCATGTAATATCCTCTATTTATTCCCAGTTATTCCTAAAGTATTTGTTTACCTTGACTTTTTTCATTAATGAAAAATTTTAACATAAGGACTGGCGTGTTGCTTTTTATCTGGTCAGACTGATTTTAACGTACAAGACGGCAAGTGCGAGTCATGGACCGGAATATGGGCTGTTATCTTTGGGAAGAGTTTTTAGTTCTCTGTTCATCAAAGACTTCGTCACTAGCCTGAGCCCACAGGGAAGAACTGCTTTGAATCTTCAAATAAATTCATGGACTTGAACGAATTAATTCCCATTTGCCGTGTGGGTAACAGATCCATGAGTGACGTGAAACAACTTCTGGACCTGTACTTAATTAGGAGCCGGTCATGGGCTCCTGACCTAATCAATGATATTGTCGATTCCAAGAAGTTTCTCGGTTTCTCGAAACGCGCACATTTGCCAGAAATATTCTTCACGCATGTCTCAATGCAAGAAAAGCAGAAGGACTTTAAGTGGCTTTTGATACATGTATCCTGGTTACAATGTATGAGCGGTATGACCGTAACCGCGTTTGTTTACGCCACAGATTCCAACGTATCGAAGAATTCGCGCGGCCAGCATCGTCTTATCGGCGTGTTTCTAACTCATCCAGGTCACTGCGATTCTTCTTTGATAAGTAGGTTAAAGTGCCACTAACCCCAAAAAGTTTTTTTCATTTAATAAAATCTACTAATTTCCCTGATTACTTCAGCGAAAAAATTATCTCGATTGATAAAATCCCTGCGTTTCTACAGGCATTTAAACATGTAATTTCCATGTTCATGACCGCGCAAAGTGGAATCTGGGTCGGGCTACTAGTGACGTCACTTCGGGAACCGGATTAAAACACTCAAGAGACTTTTGACTGAGCTTCGAGGGAAGTCAAAACATTTTCGGGTTATTTGTGATTCATATTTTATCAAAACTGGACACGAACTTTAAGTGAAAGAACTGTATCATGTAGCATTACAATTCGGAGTCTAGCTACGATTTGTACGGCTGCGAAGTACATTTTTTTTCCATTTCGAAGTGCGGGTCGCTAGTCGAGATCGTCGCGTTGTATAATTATATTTAGGCCGGGATCGACAATTTGCAGATCCATTTGGGTTATAAGGGTGCAAAAAATGACTGAAGAGTTAGCTTACAGCTCTTAAAGAGTTATAAAGCTGTCAATGAACACGAAGAGTTGGTAATTTGACTTTACGGAACGTGCAAATTTCGGAGTGACAAAACACTTTTACATTCAAATATTAATTTTCCCCCTAAATACAAGTTAAAATGCGATGCAGTCGCACTCCACTCCTGCCTACTTCTCCAGATCAATGATTGAAAACAATTTTAACATAAGAGATAGGCAGAGATGTTGGCAAACAATATTCGAAGGTGAGGTAACTTTTCGCTTCGTTATATTTTCAAAGTCAAATGGAGGCTATTGTGTTTATAATCCTTCAAATAGTTTTCGCAACACGCGCAGTTTCGAAAATTGGGGAATATTCTCATATATTCCCCAGTTTCAGCTGGGGAATGTTCGGTCATGTGACGCGTTTAGACCAATAATTATTGATGGATTTTAATAAGGAATACTCCTGCAACACCATTTACTCGAAAACGGGATTAGCGTTTCCATACTAAACTAATGGATTAGTTTAACAAGGAGGCACACCTCAAAATTTAAAAAAAATATCTGTAGCTTTCTTCTCGATTGCATGCTTCAAATTTGTCCTGGACCTCAGGGCACATAAAAAGTATTTAATCAGTGGCTTATGTTCTGTTGATATTCGTGACCACTTCAAAAAGATTGTAACTTACAATTTACTGCAAAGTGCAACGTCATTGGTTCCGCTTCTTCAGCTGTTTGAGTCTGAGTTTCATCAGTAGCTTGGTCAGCATAGTCTTGGGGCAGTGATTCATCTTCCTTCAATGACGAGTCCTGGTTCGCCTCTAAGAATTCGTTGTAAAACGTAATTGCATTAGTATTTTATGTTTCTTATTTTATATGCAGGCATATAAATATCTAAGAAAGAATATTACAACAATTAGCTCCTTGACAATATTGGTGATAGTAAAAAAATATGGAAGGGAGTTAAACAGATATTTAAGTTTAAACCACAAACCAGCATGTTAAAGGCAAATTCTTTTAATGCATATTTTTCTAGCATTAGCAATGACTTAAAGCTTGCATTAATACAAGTCATCATGGGAAAGCCATCTGAAGTAACAAATTTCAGTTTTCAAAATTAAATTTTTTTCGGAAAACAATTTTTGATCGAACAACTTAGATCTTTATCGGTTTGTGATGGAAGGAAAAAAATATAATAGAATTCAATTATTTTAAGTATGCAAGAGACAGGAATTGACTTTCATTTTAGGACTACTCCGTTTTGACCCAATATTTTCAAGACCAACAATAAATTGAGAGTAATAGATTGTTTTTAAAGTTTGATCTGCCATTTCCCAGAGAGGCATCAGAGCGGAGAATTTAATAAATTAACGACGAAAAAATAAATTGATAAAATAAATCAATATATTTGAATTCTGTAAACAAAGCATGAAAGTGACTTGTCCATGGTCACTTAACTGCAGTAATCCAGTTCAGAAGGGATGGCAATATATGGGATCCCTATATGTTTCGAATATCGAATTTAAGTGAATGTAACCAACGAGGAAAACGCCAACGGAAGATCATACTAAATACATTGTACGCTATAGATTGTGGAATGTTTAATATCAAACCCCTTAAGCAGACCAGCACATAAAGCTGCAGATTGCTGACTCACCTGATATGTCCATTAGGAACAACCTGCAAGCCAGGTAATCTTTTTCCAAAATAGTTGTTTCTAGCTTAACGGATTCCACATCAAATCGTTTCTTTATATCATCTGTCAAAAGGCGTTCCTCGGCTTGTGCATTCAAGTGACCAGAACAGTAGTCTCCCCACAGACGTTCGAGAATATCCAGAGTCCTGCATTCCACTGTTATCAGCAAACTTCCCTCGATTGCCTCTCTTACTATTAAGTCGAGAGCTCCTTTTAAATAGTAATCAAGGCAAAGAGGGTAGTTCTCAACCGGGACTTGAGATGCATGTGTCTCAAGAAAGCATTTTGTCATCTCCTTCATTATAAGCCGCTTGGCTTCCTCTTGTTGCACAGGATCCCTGCTTTGTGCATTTCGAAATTGAACACTGTTCATTTTGACTACAATGGGCAGGGTATCTTAAAAAAGTCATAAACATTACAGTAAGATTGAACATTTAAGTCATAAATGAATATAAATGACTTACGATTATAACTTTTAACATATTTTGATGAGATTTCGTTAATTACATGTGTAGCATCAAGGCATTCTGAAAACCTTATAATATAGATGCTATTGACAATATTGCTGTCAACGACTTGAGTTTCTGTTCTCAAACATTGCGAGTGAAAAAAACAGTCATAATGAGGAAGCTATTTACATCTCGAGTAACAAATTATAGTTTTGAAAATTAAAAAATACAATTCATCACTACAACTTGCAGATAACAAAACAATTCATCTCTAGAATTTTAGTAGTCAACTTGGCTAGTAAAAACAAGAACTGAATTGGGGTAAAGATGAAAATTGGTTAAAATGTTACACATTTGTTTCGCAAAACGATTTGTAAAAACATTAAAACAAGGTTTGATCGAACATATTTAATCTTCATCGGTTTGCAATGGAACGAAAAAATACAGTAGAATTCAACTATTTTAAGTATGCATAAGGACAGTAAATTAATAAACAAATGCTGGAATGTTTACCTGGCCATTTCCTGCTTCGGATTGTCTCCCTGCGCACGCAGCATATTTGCATAATGTTGGACCGTTACATTATTCGTTCCATCACAAAACGATAAATACCAAAAGGTTATAACGCTGACAACTTCTCCAATACAAATCAATGCAGAAATATTCCGGTACCTTGTAATTCATGTGGACGGAGTTTGACGCAAAATGGCTGGATAATTTTCAAAGCAAGTTAGAAAACGCAATTTTGAAGTTTTTGAGCAGGTCTTCGAGCATTTTATGTTGTATACAAAAACAGCAAATAATTTTGATTTTTTTTGCACAATCTGCAATCGGCTCGGCACTCTTTTTTGTCAAAGAGCATTGAATTATAAATTTCTCAAGAACATGTTACGACTGAATGAAGATGACCTTAATATTTCCGAATTTCCACTCTGATTTTGCTAAAGCTTTGCTACCATATTGAGTGAATGAATGTGGTCACATCAAAGCCATTGACTAAAGCTGGGACAGACATACGTGTATGCATTGAAGCATTCTTTAAAAGTTTGAACACATTTATTTAACTTTCGACGACGATTTCCTGGACGAAAATATGAAACGAGAACGACAACCAGACACAACCGTTTTCTGTTAGCATTTCACAGATCATTAAAGAAGGGCTGTCATAAACTACAGGTACATTTGTTCGACTTGTACGGTACTTTTAGATCTGACGTCATGCAAAATTCTAACAGAAGTTACTACATGAAGATATGATTGATCATCGCAGTTTTACAATCGGCTACACTCGGTTAATTGGAACATGTAACTGCAAGCGGCATTGGCGCGATGGAAAAGTTGACTGCACTTACTAACTACTGTTAAGTCTGATATCATTTAAGTAAAGAGTAACCAAAACAAACTATATAGTTAACGCGTTGATGTGACTACAGTCAGAAATGGATTCCAGACTTTGGACACAAATATATCAACAAGAAGATTTCACTAGGTGTCGTTCTGTTAAAAGAGTGGGGTTCACTTTTGCTTAAATAGCACTAAAAACTAGATATTTTCCCCAGCGGAATCAAATTCTTTCATTTTACTATTGAGTTTTATTGCCACAGTGTAAGAGCCGATGTTTACGCAAACGAGCCCACCCGAAACATCGGAGATCGTTAATAATAATAACTGTTCACAAATACTGGTGGAAGCTTGTTGATTTTTCTGGCATGTACATTCTACAAAATTTTCGAGGTGGTATCGAGTTTCTTGTAAATCGAGTTGACAATACCATTAATTATAAATGAGGCTTTAGAGGTTCGAATTTTTCCTGGAGATTTCACAAGTTGTAGAATTTTCTACACATCTGATTCCTACAGTTATTATACCTGTTGACAGAACAGACGTTTCCACAAACGTATGCTTAGAAGGTACGATACTTGGAAGACGCTCACTCATGACTTCCGTTTGTTGAACCAGTTCTGTTCTTCTTGAAGAGCTTGGATTAGCTGCAGGAGAATCTACTAAAAGAAAACATGACAGTTTTCTTCGGCTATACAGTGATAGCACTTATACAAACTTCTATGAATAATCTAGTCTAGTCTAATCTAATCTAATCTAATCGAATGGAATGGAATAGAATATCGCAAAAGTTCTTCCAGGTTTTCCTTTTTTTGAAATAAAAATGCTGAGCATCAACTGCGACTACTGAACGCTGTTTTCTAATTTGCTTTTATATCTAAGGATTGAAAGCTAGCATATACAGCTCTGCTTTCAGAGAATTCCATGCCTCCAACGAGATGGGTTTAACTATTACGAAAATGATTTCTGCTGTAAGTAAATATACCATAATCACTGACAGCCTGTCCGTAACAAATCAAGGGTAATACTGAAAATCTTTATACCTTCTGTTATGCGGGCCATGTTACTAATGAGAGATTTAGTCTGGGCTTCCCAATTGTACTTCTTCTCGTATAAGGCACGCAATATTTTGGACTCTTCAAGACGGTTGACCCGCTTTTTCTTCCGGACATCCTTGATAGCTTTGGCCCACGTATCGGAATCCTCTGAATCGATCACAACGTATGAACCGAAAGGTACTTCACATAGTGCAACTCCAAACCCGGAGTTTCCACTTACAAGGATGGGCAGACCAGCTGATAAAGCTTCAAGACCTGTCAAACCAAAGCCCTCCGTTCTCGAAGGCATGATTGCAAGATCCACTTCGCAAAGTAAGTTTTTCAAACTCTCCCGGCTTTGTAAAAAGCTTCTGACAGTTAGGCGTTGAGCAGGGATGCCACACTTGAGCAAACGAGTTTTAACCTCGTCTTGCTTTCCATCTGGTGCACCAACAAAAGTAAGATGTGTGTCATCTAAGGTGGCAACAGCTTTGGCTGCAATGTCAAATCCTTTCAATTCGAAATCTTCGTCATCGCCACGCCCAAAAACCAGAACTCGGAATTTTTTCCTTTCATCAAC